TAAGTGTTGTGAAAGTTGTATATGCTGTATAAGTGTTGTGAAAGTTGTATATGCTGTATAAGTGTTGTGAAAGTTGTATTTGCTGTATAAGTGTTGTGAAAGTTGTGTGGAAATGCTCTATAAATAAATGTCCTTTTATCACTGACATGTTTTACAGTAAAAACTCCAACTTTTCATTTTACACCAACATCAGTTACACAGTGGATTAAAACTGCTGTATATAATCCATACTGTAAAACTTGCAGTCTTGGCTGAATCTTTATTAGTTACTTTGATGTTCTACCGAGAATATTTTTGATCCTTTGCTCATTCTTTTGGTTGTGATGCTCATAAATGGATTCAAAGTGAAGCGTCCAGCACCACACCAGCGTTGACCCCTTCTGGCTGGGTTTGTTTATCTCCTCCTGGTGAAAATCACCCACACTGAGACATTTTTATGACCCAGGATCTGAGCTGAACAATTGAAACTTGACCACAGAAACTGTCAAAACCACATGACATCAGATTTGGCTTCAGCCCCTCATTCCTCAAAGCTGGGTGGCAGAACGTTGTGGCCAAAGGGCAACAGGTCGGACTACAGGACGTGAAGTGACATACAGCATATGTTCATTTACCTGTGATTAAAAATGAATCAGCATATATATATACTCTATATATGTATACAGTTGCATGTTAAAATAATTTCTGATATTTAAAGACTGCTGAAGTAATCTAAGTACTTGTAATCAGTTACTTTCCACCTACAGAGCAGATTTAATCTCTGTGTGTAGGAAGCAGTTTATTGATAGTGTGGGAAGTTTAAAAACCATCTGCTGAGGTTTTATTAATCAGTGGGCGTGTGTTTGTGATGCTAATTAAACGTGTCCTGTCTGAGTGCCTATGGGTCGTGCTCAGACGCGATGACATCACTTTTTGTCTTTATAAAAAGAAAAATGAGACGAGAGGCTGACAGAASAGGAGAGGTGACACACAGGAGGTAACCGATGGTTCTCTTTCTCTTTCTWCAAAAGTTTCTCATTCTCACCCTCTCGTTTGATCATTTTTCACGTCAGGTTTTTGTTCAGAAGACGAGGATGATGAAGAAACTGGGTCTGCTCCTGCTCGGCCTCACTGCAGTCTCTGCTGCTGCAGGACCAGGTGGGCATGAAGACCCCTGTTTATTTCTACAAYAATGGTTTCTTTTCTTCCAGGTGCCTGGTTCTATAGAAGATAGCTTTCAGTGCTGAATAACTCAAGATAACATGCATCTGTTTATGTTTTATTTGCAGTCTTAACTGATCAGAAAGTTTAATGCAGAGTGGTTCCATTTGTTTTTTTAACAAAGTGGTGTATCGTCATGTTTCGTCTCTCCTCAGGCAGCTGTGTGGGTCGATGTGGGGAGGTTTTTACCAGAGGTCAGAGGTGTACCTGTGACTTCAGCTGCCTGCAGCACAACGAGTGCTGCCTGGACTACCATGCTACCTGCACCACAGGTAACACAGACATGGAGAAATATTTAAAAAAACGAGATCAAGGCTAATGAGAGAGGATAACTTCATCACCGTCAAACTAATTGTGAATTATTTGTTCTGCTCTTTTGATTATGAACTCATTCTCATTTGACTTTACATAATAAATAAATGAAAGTTTTTTTAATCACTGCATTTAGTTTTATTTTATTGTGTAGAACACGGTTTAACCTCTTTAATTATGTTTTAGATCCTATGTTTTTGATTTGAGTTTAGTTTTGGTTGCTTTGTTTTATTCTGTTTTGAGTCATTTTTTATTAAGACAAAATTCTACAAAGGAGTTTTTTTTAATTTTCAAGACTTTTTATGTGTTTTATTTTGTTTCTGTGTRTAATTGATTCTGCATAAAATACTTTAGAACATCAAGTTCTTCCTAGTTTGTAAAATTTATCCATCTTTGTGGAATATTTTGCTTACTTTGGTTGGCTAATTAAACATCTTTTGCCTCCTCAGCTCAATCTTTACTTTAATTTTGTCGCTGTCAGTGTTGCATACTCCATGTTTCTTTAAACGATTATTGTTTTCAGAGAAGAATCTGCCTGTCAGGTTTGTTTGCTGAGGGTCAGCCTCTGAAACGTGTCATTTTCAGTTTGTGTTGATGGGCTTTTATCTGTCGTCAGCTCAGTCCTGTCAGGGTCGCTGTGGTGAGACGTTCAGGAGAGGTCTGCAGTGTGAGTGTGATCCRCGGTGTGTCCTCTTTCACACCTGCTGTCACGACTACCACCTCCACTGTGGTATGTACCACCAGGCCTCAACTGAACACCAGCAACAYGTCTTTTGGACAAATGCTGTTTCGAAAAAAAAAAAATTCTCCCTGCTGATGTCTCAGTCCAACACTGCTCTCATCATCTTCTTTGTCCACAGATGCCAGTGGKACCGTCTCACAGCAGGGAAGACCCCAGCCTCAGAGGACCACCACACCAAGTTAGCAGAAACTTTATAACCATCTGATTACTTCTGTCTTTTAATTATAAATCTGCTGCTAAAAAAACATTTTTCAACAAAAAGAAAATCTACACGGCAAAAACTGTCCATCTTACCAAGTTTTAAAATCTTATATCAGCCAAAAAGTGTTTTTGATCTTGTTTTGAGACTGATTTACTAAACAAGAACTGATTGTGTAAGAATAATAATCTTGTTTTCAGAATGTGTAAGATTATTTGTCTTGNAATTATTTTTCATCAAAATTATGTTTTTGAAAGGTACCCTGGATGATTATCTCCCTTGTAAGGGGTCCTAAGACCCAAAACCAATGTTGTTTAAAGTACCACAGAGCGATACTTGAATAAAAGTACAAGTATCTTACCAAAAAATTACTTTGGTAAAAGTTAAAGTCTCCTTTAGGAATATTACTTGAATAAAAGTCTTAAAGTATCATATTTTTTGTGCTTAAGTATTAAAAGTAAAAGTATTGATTTAAAATGAGCAGTTAGATTTTCTGTAATGACATTTATTAGGAGGTGACCTCCCAAAAACAATGCAGAAATGACTATACTGTATTAAAATAATAAATTTATTTTAAATTCAGGATCCACTAGTCTAGCTGTTTCAGTTTATAAATCAAGGCTGCCCAAATTTTTCCCCCAAAATGAAAATCTGTCTGAGGGCTGCAGCCAAGTGCAATAATATAATTCATGAAATACAATTACTTCTTAAGTACAGTCCTTTTATTTTAATGATTATGTCCTGCTGGAGTGTGACATGATTTGTTTGTGTACAAACTAATACGATATCAGAATTTTATGTATTTATACATCTCATTCAACCACAATTAAATTCACTCTGTCTAGGAGGCAAAATTTATATGGATAGTTTTTATTTTTTACAATAACAAGCTGGAATGAAAACAAGCAAAAATGAAATAAAAGTAACAACTTTCTAATTCTTGCCTTTTTTAAAAAATGTAAGAAGTAAAAGTAAAAAAGTAGTCTGAAAAATAATTACTCAAGTAAAGTACAGATACACAAAAATTCTACTTAAGTACAGTAACAAAGTATTTGTACTTAGTTAATTTAAACGTTTGAGAAGCCCTGCTCTAGACAGACATAACATCAAAAATCTTCCTAAATATGACATGATAAGTTATTCCTCAGACAACCAATCAAAATATTTTTCTCTCATCTAATGCRATGTTTCTTATTCTATATTGAAAACCTTTGCTGGAAAATTGAAGAATGACCAGAACTCTGCAGGTGTACAGTTGATTTATTTAAACTAATACTGAATGTTTTAATAAACCTAATTTGGATAACTCGTTGATTCGTTATGAGATTACTGCTTAATCTAGTAATCTTCTGCTGACATGACAGACCTTTGTGTTTTAACATATTTCTTATTCTTTWGTTAATCAAAAGAATGAGAATAAAACTTCAGTTTAACAGATTAGTATACAAAATGAGGCTATTTTTAAAACTAGGAATGACAAAAGATTAAACATACAAAATAAAYTCTTTCAAATGAGAAAACTATAAATCAACATGTCACAATATGTTCATTTTATTCAAATTTAACCAGCGTAAAC